ATCCGCACCGCTGGAGGCCTCCATAATGGGGCGCCAGCAGTTAAGGAATTCGACAGCAGACGGCCTCTCGCGCACCGAGTCGCCCTCGAGAATACGCGACAAACAGGACTTCTTGTTCTTTCTGTAGAGGGATTGCACAATTGCATACTCCCTCTTTCTCTTCTGCTCCTTGCTCTCTCGTTTAACTGGAGGACAGTGCTTCTTTGCCGAAACGCGTTGCGGAGGGCGCACTTGTAGCGGCAGAGGAAAGATCATGCCCAGCCATCTTTCGATAGCCAAGACGTCGACCCTCCCCGCCGTCAGAGCATCTCTTGCCGTGCCAGCAAGAGTATCAGCCTCGTAGCTACGGAACGCCGCACTCTGCTCTACGAGTGATTGTATCTTGTCCCGCAGCCTCTGAGAACTTTGTTCAGGGGGAGGCTGATGTGCGCTTTGATCGTCAGTACTAGCCTCAATGGCCGCAGGAATGGTGTCGGCTCGTGTCATCACCGCACTATCCCTATCGCCCTCATCGATCACAATCGCGCGACGCGATTGGATCTCTTGGCAGAAGTCTCTAACCATCACTCGGTAAGGCTCCTGTCGCCGTTTACCCTTGATGGCTTCGAGACTCCTATTGGGGAACCTTGTCTCCAGATACTGGTTAATGAAAGGTTCCCCGGCTAAGGTGCCTTCAGCCTCAGCGCGTGCCATGATTCTAGTTTTTTCCACTGACCATCTGGCCTTTACGCGGTCAACATTGATAGCACTGTTGGCTTGTAGTGGGTGTGCACGTACTTTGTGGACACCAAGACCACGCATGTTTTGGAATTTCGCCTAACAATGCTCACAGCTGACCATCTCCTCCTCTAGGCTGTCCACTTCAGCCTGGCTGGTCCTTATAGTGATTCGCGACGGACCAGCTGCGACCCCGTCAGGGTCCTCCGCACCTCTCGCGCGCTCACTCAAGCGAGCACTCGCACGCAGACCCCGGGCCATCCGAGAACCCGGGACATCAGAATCATTCTTAGCTTTATTCATAATTTACTGCGTGTAGGGGGGCAAACGGATTGACAACCGAGAGCCCCCCAAGAAACCCCGGTCTTTCTTGGCCCCACAACTCACCATGACCGTAGGCGCATGGGCCGAAGCCCTTAGGGGCGCACTTCGCTGTACACTCGCTTAGTCGACACCTACCGAGTCTAAACTTCCAAAGTAGGCCGTTTCCGGGAGCACCACGAGGAGGTGGAGGTACAACTTGGACGTGAGAGGCTGAAGGTCCTTACTAGAGGACTTCGTTGGCGCATCACGAACCAACCACAACTCTCTCTAAGTACCATCGCGGCGTGTTGCTTTGAGGACCGAGAGAGTCATAGTTACTCCCGTCACAGTCCTTTCATCCGTGCTTTGGGACGCCCGGAGGCGCTGTCGTTCTCTGCATGTGGCGTGCGTCGATGGTTGCATGTGGTCTGCGTGTGGGTTGCGCACACGCAGACCACAGTTTGTTCTCTGCATGTGGTCTGCGTGTGGGTTGCGTGTAGGGAACTCGCAAGCGATCCACCCTTAGCTCAGGCCATCGAGCAACTCACGAGGGCATCTCTTAAGCCGCAACAGCGGCTGAGGTTGTTGCGTGACTGTCTCCTTCCACGGTATTATCACCGATGGACAGTGGGTACGGGCTCGGCCAAAACCCTCAAGGGTAAGGATATCATCGTACGCACTGCGGTGCGACGATGGCTGCGTTTTCCCCATGATGTTCCTGCTGGATACCTGCATGCGCCGATACAGAGTGGCGGGCTTGGAATGCCTCTATTGAGAACTTTGATCCCAATTCTGAAGCATAACCGACTGCAGCGGTTGTGTCGGAGTACTCTGCCCGCAGCATGCGCAACTGCCGAAACCACGTATGTGGCTAGGCAGCTTGTCTGGTGTGAAAACCAGATGCGAGTGCGGGGCCATAGAGTGACTACAACCGCTGAGCTCAGACAGCAGTGTGCGGCCTGGTTGCGCGAGTCGTGCGATGGGAGTGGACTCAGAGAGGTTGCGGCCTCCAACCTGAGCTCCTACTGGGTATCGGCTGGCGCCGATGCCATCCCAGGGGCCGACTACGTGCACTATCACCACATACGGGCTAACTGCATACCGTCTAGAGCGAGATGCTCCCGAGGTCGTGATGGGCGCGATAATCGCTGTCGTGCCGGTTGTCCCGAAACCGAGACGCCGGCTCACTGCGTGCAACGCTGTTTCAGAACGCACGGAGGGAGAATCCTGCGGCATGACGACCTATGCCGTCAAGTTGGTGGCTATTTACAGCAGAAGGGATGGCGCGTCGATGCGGAACAAGCGTATTCGACGTCTGCCGGCCGGAGGCGGCCCGACCTGACCATCGCTAAGGGTGGTGAGGCAGTGGTCGTAGACGCGCAAGTAGTGTCTAGCGAAACCGCGTTGGAGATGTCCCACGAGCGTAAGGTGGAGAAGTACCGATCATGTAATGATCTGGCAGCCGCTGTGGCGGAGCGCACAGGAGTACCTCGAAATAATGTTCGTTTTACCGCCATTACAATTTCGTGGCGAGGTGTCTTGAGCTCGCGAAGCGAGTCTGAGTTGCGAGAGCTGGGTTTAACGTCCGCCCAGCTCCGAACGTTGACGACTCGAGTTTTGTGGGGCTCATGGCTGAACTAGAAACGTTTTAACGTAATGACATCGCGTTATAACAAAGGAAGGCGGAACGTGGCCTCATCTGGTGGTGCATGATGGATGGCGCGTAGAGTTGGGGGCCTCCGCATCAATCGCGCGAGTTTGAATGATTGCGTGAATGGTCGAGGTGAAGTACGAGCTGCCTTTGGCTAGCTCCGACCTTCACGCTCCAGGGTGTTGACTGCGAACACCAACAGTAAACAGCTCTGCAATATTGTTGTCGGTGGCGACTTGGCGACTGTGATTTTGTAGCAGTCGTCGCGCACCGTAGACGAAACATAGCCAAATGCCTCGTCATCTAATTAGTGACGCGCATGAATGGATTAACGAGATTCACACTGTCCCTATCTACTTACTAGCACAGCATTGCCACGAGTCGGAGTCGCAAGACCAAATGGCTCATATGTGGCGCGCACACCTAGTGTGTAGTAGCGTGGCTCCCTCTTGCTTGTTTCGCACACAGAGCCAAGGCCGAGGCGTGAATGCCGAGGAGTCGAAGGAGAGTTTAAAACAAAAAGTAAAACTGCGAATGACTAGATTGACCAGCACAAACTCTGGACAAATAATCTAGGAAATGAAAACGCAAAATCGGTAAACAAACCGATAGCCCAAAAACTGGTGTCCTAAGACTTGGCCCCAGAGTGTTCGGCCCGGAGCTCGCCGCTTCCCCTTACAAACTCTGGGTGCCTCGAAAATACGGATTGTTCCCAGGCGCGCATGCCGGGTCTGTCGAATGTCGGGGCGAAGGTCGCAAGCGTGTCCTTAACGGGACGCCGCATACGTTTGTGGCTGGAAACCGGCTCGATGGATCGGACATGCAGTGGAACAATCTAAGAACACTCGGTGTTTCTCTCTGCGGCATGCGGCACGCGGGGAGGTTCGCCGGGAGTTGTCCAAAGGGGCAGTCACCCAGACTGAGGGCAAAATGGACCCGGTCCCACGGGCTATGGGCCCGGACCTTGAGGACGGAAGGAAGTCAGGCAGTACGCGTTGGAAGTCAGCAAAACATCCGGAAAAGCAGTACGTGGCGACTCGGCCCTTGGGGTGCGCTCCGGTGCAACTCACGGGGCTGGCCACGCGGTGGGTTTCAAAAAGGGCTAAAGGCAACACGCCTTAAGGACCCAGTTGAACCCAACGCAAGATTGAAAAGCAACACGCCGCGTGGCGATTCGGCCCCTGAGGTGCACTCCGGTGCAACTCACAAGGCTGGCCACGCGGTGGGTTCCAAAAAGGGCTAAAGGCAACACGCCTTAAGGACCCAGTTGAACCCAACGCAAGATTGAAAAGCAACACGCCGCGAGGCGACTTAGCCCCTGGGGTGCACTCCGGTGCAATTCACGGGCCTGGCCACGCGGTGGGTTTCAAAAAAGGCTAAAGACAACACGCCTTAAGGACCCAGTTGAACCCAATGCAGGATTGCAAAGCGGCACGCCGCGTGGGGACTCGGCCCCCCCCTGGGGTGCGCTTCGGCGTCGCTGTCGGGGGCTGCCGCGATGCGTGTTGAGACTGACAGAAAACGTAAAATGCAAATGGGTGCGGCCCTGGGGACAACAAAGCAAGGGATTGAAAGGAATGGGCGGGACCTCCAGCCACATCATGGCCAGCGAGTGTCCACAAGCGTTAAAGGTCTCCCGAGTAGTGCCGGGAACCCCAAAAACTCTCCAAGATTCTAAAGCAACACGCCGCGGCGAATGAAGGGAGCTTATCATTATCATTTTCAGGACTTCCACGGCTTACACACTGCATTGCTACGACAAGTCGGCGTCACTGACCAAATGGTTCACAAGTAGCACGAATGGATCGTTGGAGGACGCACTTGGTGTCGCTCTAATTACTTTCTAATAATCCGAGATTGGAGTCGGGGGTGCCGGGTGCGTTTCCCGTACCTATCTTTCCAACATTGTCCTACCTACGAGTTCCGGATTCGCGGATCACATGTCGCTCGCCTTTCGCGCGGTTCTCCTTTAGCAGAAATCTCTCGCGATTGACGCGCCTCTCGGTTTCTGATTCGTCGCGTTTATCGATTCTTTACTTTCAGAACTACTCGCATCTTCGTCTCGCTCCGGTCGTTTCGTTTCGTTTTACTTTGTCTCGTTCGTTCGTCTGCCTCGAATGCCGATGAATAGTGGCACCTAACAATCTCGTCTTAAGGGTGCAACCGTGCCGAGGGCATGAATCCGCGTGGACGGTAAGATCATCGCTAATCCGCAGGATATCTGCCGCCCTCCTCGATCGCCAGCTTGAACGTAGTCGGCTCTCGTCGCTTGACCCTCCTTTCCAGTACTCGTGGGAATATAAATGGAAATGATAAAACCTTTGGTTAGGAGAAGTGCCCGCCTGAAAAATGCTTCCTGCCGGGTAGGGCAGCAGCCCAGGAAGCACTTAGTGGTAGCGGCCTTCGTGCCGTCCGAGTTGTGCTAGCTAATGCGACGCGACCGTGGACGCCGGCGTCCGATAGTCGGCTGGGACCGAGCGTCGAAGCAAGGCGAAGAGAAATTTGCCGAAGCGCAAGGCACTATGCTCACTATCCTCGACAGTTTTGCACCACCTCAACAGAATACATCAGCCAAAACCCTATAAACTCATCGTCCGCATCACATTCTCGACGTTTGCCTCGCATCGATTTACCAAAATTCAACGGCGAATATTCGCAGTGGAATCATTTCCGAGATCTCTTTGCTTCTATGATCAACGCGAATACCGATCTCTCTGCTGTCGAAAAGCTTCATTATTTAAAGATGAGCCTATCGGATGAACCGGGACTCGAGTCACACTTTAGTTGGGTTAGGATTAGGAATCAAGTGGCGCATGCGATTCACATTGCCCGTGGGCAACGGCGGCATCCTGTAACTCTCAATTCCAGCTGTGTTTTCGAGCTTAGCACAGCTCATTGTGAATGTGCAGAAGTGCAAACGGCTTCTCTGCGAACTTGAACTGGAAGCAATCGGAGCCCTCGCTACATTGGGCTGCCCGTTTCATCACTGGGACAAGAGATTGATCTTTATGACAGTGCGCAAACTAGATGTCGAATCTGTTCCCCAGGAGGGGAAAAATCACTCGGAGCCACCTCGCAACCACCATCGTTCGCCGACTTCGAGAAATTTCTTCTGGTCGTATTCTCACTCTCGAAGCCTTCGAACGAACAACGAATTCTCGGAAACAAAACGCAAGTGCACCTCGATCTCCAGCTCACGCTCGGGCATATACCGCTACTGTGACTGATCAAAAGTGTGCGTTGTGGTTCATCGGGACATTACATTGCCTCGTGTCCAAAGTATCTCGAAAAGACACCCATGCAGCGAAAGGAAGTAATAATTTCGAAAAATCTCTGCTTTAATTGTCTCGGGCCTCATCAGATAAAATCATGCCGCTCAAGTAAAACCCTGTCGTCTCTGCCACAAGCAACATCACTCCACGTTACATTATCAAGCCGGCAACGCAACATGGTGCATCATACGTGCACACTCAGACTCGCTCGACGCCTGTCGTCAAGACAATCACATCGTCTCCGCCGGAATTCATACTGCAGGTATTCCGCCACACGAATCTGTTGCTCCTCTACGGAATACCGAGCAAATCTCAAACTCCGTGACATCAAGTCACGTCGCTCAATCGCGGATAATCCGTCGCACTCCGGTTCTATTAGCCACAGCTCTCGTAAACGTAGTGTCATCAACCGGAGATATCTATCAAGTGCGCGCTCTTATCGATCAAGGATCGGAAGTCTCGTTTGTCTCGGAATCGGTCGCCCAATTATTAAAACTCTCGCGTCAAGCGGCGGCTATTCCGATTCTCGGCATCGGAGCTCATCGCTCGAGTATATCAAACGGACTCGTCTGTCTCAAAGTGATATCTCAAGTGCATAAAGACAGTTCTCTCGAAGTCGATGCTCTCGTACTGCCGAAATTAACGTCCTATCTGCCTCCCGCGCGTGTCGAATATACTCAGTGGCCGCACATACAAGGTCTCGAGCTCGCGGATCCAAACTTCGCCACGCCCGAAAAAATCGATCTTATACTAAGTGTAACGGTGCACGCTCAAATACTCAAAGACGGTATTCGTCGAGGAAATATCGGCGAACCCATCGCTCAAGAAACGACTCTCGGATGGGTGCTATCAGGGCCTCTCTCAAATGATAATTCGAAGACCAACGCCATGGAAAACAACCAAGTCATCGGTCTTCAGTGCTCTCTCGACTCTGAGCTCCTGGAGCTCCTTCAACGCTTCTGGACACAAGAAGAAACCGCGCCTGCCTCTCAAATCTCAATGTCTCCAGAAGAATCTCAGTGCGAAGAACATTTCAACATGACTCATTCTCGCGACGTCAACGGACGATTTGTTGTACGCTTGCCGCTCAAGAAAAGTGTTAGTGATTTTGGTGACTCTCGCTCTATCGCACTCAAGGCGTTGTATCGCATGGAAAAACGATTCGAATCGAATCCATCGCTCAAAATCCAGTATATCGACTTTTTACGTGAGTATCGTTCTCTCGATCACATGCGTCCCGTCGCATCAAACCGCGCCCAATCTCGCGAGTTTTTTCTACCGCATCACGGTGTTACGCGTGAAACTAGCACGACAACAAAACTGCGCGTCGTGTTTAACGGATCGCAAAAAACAAATCTCGGCTTGTCGTTAAATGAGTATCTCCTTGTCGGGCCGAAACTACAAACGGATCTCGCGGACATCCTCATGCGGTGGCGACGGCATCGATACGTGTTCGCGGCCGATATCGAAAAAATGTATCGGCAGATTCGCGTGCACGAGGATGATTGGCCGTTGCAGAAAATTCTTTGGCGGGACTCTCTCGACGAAAGGCCTCAAGAATATGCATTGTGCACCGTAACGTACGGCCTCGCGTGTGCTCCATATCTCGCGCTACGCTGTTTACGGCAACTCGCTCTTGATCACGATTCGACTCGCCCTCACGCTGCCGAAACTCTTTGTCGCGACACATACGTCGATGATATTCTCTCCGGCGACGAAAGCATCTGTCAGGCGAAAGAAAAAATCTCGCAACTAAGAACCACTCTCACGGCGGGCGGCTTTACGCTCCGAAAATGGATCGCTAACGACTCAAATCTGCTCGACGATATCCCTGCCTGCGATCGCGAAACATCTCCTACGCTCTCGGTCAACGACAGTGCGATACATAACACTCTCGGTGTGCGTTGGGAACGCCAATCAGACAGTTTCGTGTTTTCTCCGCCGTCGCTCACGATCTCGAAAAATCGCGTTACAAAACGCTCAGTGCTATCGCTTATCGCACGCATGTTTGATCCACTCGGATGGATCACGCCTATCACAGTTACCGCAAAGCTGTTCATGCAAGAATTGTGGGCCATACGTCTCGACTGGGACGACGAACTCCCGGAAGATTTAAAGTCACGATGGACAAGCTACATCGCTCAACTCACATGCATCTCTCGTCTCGCTATCTCGCGTTGGTTTGGAACAAGTGCTTCGAATCTCGCCGTGGAAGTGCACGGTTTCGCGGACGCATCTCAAAGTGCACTCGCCGCGGTCGTTTATCTCCGCGTTCTCAGTGACGTCGACGACGCTCAAATAAAACTCATTTGCTCAAAGACTAAAGTTGCCCCTCTCAAACGAATGACTATACCGCGTCTCGAACTCTCAGCCGCAGTGCTGCTCGTGCGTCAAGTTCTCAAAATTCGCGAAGTGCTTGAACTACCAACCGCGCCAACCCACCTCTGGACCGATTCGACGGTCGCTCTTACGTGGATCAAAAGTCATCCATCCCGGTGGAAAGACTTCGTACGGAACCGTGTCTCCTTTATTCAAGAGCTCTCAAATTCTAGATGGCATCACGTCTCCGGGAAGGAGAATCCCGCTGATCTAGCATCACGAGGCGTGACTCCTCAACGTCTTCAACAAAACGAACTCTGGTGGACCGGTCCTCGTTGGTTACATACGCATTCGACATCTTGGCCGTCTTCAATTCCGATTCTCGAGTCTACGGACAACCTCGAAGAACGGCCTCCGCAGTGTACAACTGCAGTGGAAAATCATGAACATAAACTTTCGATGCTCGATCGATACTCATCACTGACGACCCTCATCAGAACTACCGCCTGGGTCCAGCGTGCTCTTCAACTCTTTCGGAAATCGGTCGCATCACGCTCATCTCACGAGCCTCTCACAGTCGAAGAGTTAGAATCAGCGCTACTGCTGTGGGTTAAACTCACGCAGCAACTTTACTTCTCATCCGAAATCAAAACCTTGAAGAGCCAACGATCACTCTCAACCTCGAGCTCTCTCTATCGTCTAACGCCATTCCTCGACAGCGAAGGACTTTTGCGTTTACGCGGACGGTTATTCCGGTCACAACTAGATCCAGAAGAAAAACATCCTCTGATCTTACCTCGAAAATGTCGATTATCCCTTCTCGTGATGGATCATCATCATCGAAAGACTCTCCACGGCGGACCGCAGTTAACCTTATCATCGATTCGTCAAAGATTTTGGATTATCGGCGGTCGCGTTCCTATCAGAGCATTCATCCACAAGTGCGTGATTTGTGCTCGTCATCGTGCTACTACTGGTCAACAAGCTGTAGGACAGCTTCCAGCATCACGAGTCGTTCCGCGCCGACCGTTCTTCAACTCTGGCGTCGATTATGCCGGGCCACTGACTCTCAAAACTTTTCGCGGACGAGGCTGCAGAACGTACAAGGGATATTTCATCATTTTCGTTTGTTTCAGTACGTCTGCGATACATCTGGAAGTCGCGACTGACTATTCTACGGACGGCTTTCTGGCGGCGTTCAGGCGATTTACCGGACGGCGAGGCATATGCTCTACCCTGACTAGTGATTGTGGCACGAATTTGATCGGTGCCGACGCAGAACTCAAACGGATGTTCACGGCATCTTCTCGCGAGTGGGCTCACATCGCTAACATTCTCGCAAATGACGGAGTGAAGTGGAGTTTTAATCCACCCTCCGCCCCCCATTTTGGAGGAAAATGGGAAGCTGGGGTGAAATCCGTCAAATTTCACTTGCGGCGAGTTCTCGGCGACGCTCGCCTCACCTATGAAGAACTGACAACGCTCTTAGTGCAAATCGAGGCGATTCTGAACTCTCGCCCGCTCACTGCACTCTCAGATGATCCGTCGGACTCTACCGCTCTCACGCCTGGGCACTTTCTCGTCGGGTCCACTCTTGCTACCGTGCCGGAACCTTCGCTTCAAGAGGTACCTCAAAACCGGTTGTCACGTTGGCAACTATTGCAATGTATGAAGGAATCATTCTGGCAACGATGGTCGTCAGAATATTTACAGCAGCTACAGACTACCTCGAAACAATATCGACCTTAAGATGCCTTTCGAAAAGGCGCTCTCGTTCTAATCAAGGACGAACGATTTCCTCCAACTAAGTGGCCTCTCGCACGCATTACTGACGTGCACCCTGGAGTCGACGGACTTATTCAAGTCGCCACAGTGAAAACAGCTACCTCAAGTTTTAAGAGACCTATAGTGAAATTGTGTTTGCTGCCGATCGAAACTCAATAGACTAAACAAATACTCTGCGCTAACCGCTCGTATATCTTAATTCGATACTTTGTCTACTACGAGTAGACAAGGCGGGCGGAATGTTTCGACACAATAATAATGTAATAAAATTATATCCATTTTAAGATCACGGTGTATCGTCATGTTTAGTAATATTTGCTTCTAAAATTTAGTAAAGTCACGAACGGTAAATTCGAACGTCAAGCAAATATTGTCTGTAAATGTTATCGAGTTAAATTCTATGGATACTGTTCTCCGCGTTCTTATTTGCGCACCTTTTTGTTGTTTTCGCGCCGACTTCGCGTTCGTATTACAAAGGAATCATGTGTCCTCTACATTTCTGTGTACACTCTCTCTTTATCTGTACATGAGATATTATAAATCTCTCAAAACTGTTTGTCAACCCCCTCTTCATACCTGTTTGTCAAAAAATTCACGGCTTGCCGTCTGCGGACGAGTCAGTCGTCTCTCAGCGTTCGTAAAGAATAAATCGATATCCACGACAAGTTCTCCTCTAATTACTTTCCTAATAATCTCAAGATTTCGACGTCGCCAGTGCCGGATCACGCGTATCTCTCAACAATCTCTTAGAATTTATTTTATTAGTTAATTAAGTAAAAATATAAAAAGTATTATGAGTATTTAAGTAATCAGCATCATATATAAAATTCTTACCTGAATACTTAAAAGAAGTTTCCATTGTGAAATATCAAGACAGTGACGGCGTAGCAGAATAATAAAAGCGAGATTATTGGACTACCCGACTCTTGAGCAGTGGATACTGTTTACAGTACAAGCTTCACACGCATGCGCGATAAAATAGTCCCAAATGCACCACCTTCGAAGGTGAGGCAAATAGAGCGTGCTCCTAATTGCTCCTTAGAGTATGCTCTAACGTGACGCGAACATCTAGTCGCCATCTTGTTTCCGGTGACACGAACGTATTGGAGCGCATTGGAGTGAGAAGGAGCATGTTAGGGCATGCGACGCGAACAAACCTTCGAAGTCATGCCGGCGGGGGCTATGCCCCTGGTAGGTTCAACCTTGCCGGATGAGTTTGGAAGGAGAGGACAGACTAAGAATGCACCAAACGTCTTAAGCCAAGGTGTAAGGCAACGTGCCGATGGCTGCTTGGCCACGAAGACGTGAAACAGCGCGGTCGCAAACGTTCCCTCTGGGGTACCTGCCGACCCCCCAGAGTAGCTAGGCTTGGTGATATCATGGAGGCTCTGAATCACTTGATACTTGTTCCTACCATACTCGTGGGATGAAAAATGGAGAAAATGAAAAAACTAAAAATACATTCAAACCAAAGTTGACGATGAAACACAAACCCGGAGATAAAGAACAGGACCCGTTCAAGAGAAGGGAGTCTATTCCCAGATTACCACCACCATCGGCGAAAATAATAACTGGAGGAATAAATAGGCCTTGCTTTAGCGCTTTGCTTGAACAAGGTGAGGAGGCATACGACTCTCCGGCTGAAAAAAAAAACGACAAAACGCCCCAGTTCAAAAAATACCAGAGAAACTGATGATAATGATGTATTTATTTTTCCTGAACCTGTTCAAAAAAGCAGTGCGAATAGTGTGGAAAGAGAGAAACTGGAACAAAAAGGCTCACCGAAAGTTGAAAAGGACGACAAGGAAGTTACGCTAGAAGAAGTGAGATCTGAAAGAGTAGCTCTAGAAGAGTTTCTCTTTAATGAAAACAATAAAATCAATAAGAATACAATTAAGTTCATATTGTCTAAGTGGGTGCTACTAGAAGGGAAATTACAAGAGAGTATCGTTGAGAGAGAAAAATTAAAGTGTACTTACCTGGCATCGAAAAATTCTATCAGTTCGATGTCCTATGTTCAAGTGGCGTTCACTCCATGGTCCGGAACAGCAGCATCTGAAACAGAAAAAAAAAAGAAATTATCCAACGTACTACACTAAAAAGCGGATTCAAGACTAATTCTTCGGTAATGATTGTTAAGCCTTTAAATGAAAAGGACAATTTAACGTGTGAGGATGTCAAAGAAAAACTTACAAAGAAAATGAATCCGTTAATTAAAGAAATAAGGATTAAAAGAATGAGAAAGGTGGGAGACAGAGGCATTCTAGTGGAAACGGAAGGTGGAAACGAATTAAAAAAGATCCAGCAGATAATAGAAGACAATGAATGCGGGCTGAAAACAGAGCTGCCTAAGAAAACTGGACCCAGTATGATAGTATATGACGTAGAAAAGTCGGTCACAAAGGAGCAGTTTATGGAACAATTTTGGTCTAAGAATGTTGAAAAACTTGGAATCGCCAAGCAGGAAAATAAAAGCAGGGTTAAATACAGATACAACACATTTGTTAAAACCAGAAATACTAATAACTGGGTAATAGAGGTGACAGGAGAGATAAGAAGAAAACTCTTGGAGCAAGAACGACTATATATTGACTGGAGATCATACAAGGTTAATGATTACTTAGCCTTGACTAGGTGCTTCCGTTGTCTAGGCTTAGGCCACAGTGTTAAACACTGCAAGGAAAAGACCCCCACTTGTGGACACTGGGGGGGGGGGGCGGGCCATATAAGCACCAATTGCTCAGAGAGAGAGAGAAATCTGCAGTCTGCGCTAATTGTACAAGAGCTAAAAGGAAAGACACACATCATACTGTAAGTGACAAGAGATGCCCGGAGTATCTAAGAGTAACTGAAATCGTAAAGAATAAAATAGATTATACATAATGATAAAATTCTTTCAAATAAATGTTGGCCGTTCGCAGACGGCATCATACGAATTAAGATTAAAAGTAGAGGAACAAGGCATTGATGTGTGTCTGATACAAGAACCATACGTATTCCAAGGACAAGTCAAAGGCTGCGCTTCACTTGGTGCAAGAGTTGTTCAAAGTAATAAGGTGACAGATACAAAAGCTGCTATAGTTGTATATAATCAGGAAATAACTGTCACAAAAATCGAACAGTTTACGGACGAACATATAGCTTGCGCACATATAGTACATAATGAAGTAAACTTATATTTGGTATCAGTTTATTGTCAATTTTCCATGGAGCTAAACTATTTTATTAATAAGTTGGAGACTATAATAGAAACGTTCAAAAGCCACGACATGATCATATCAATGGACTCCAATGCTCACTCCAAAACTTGGTACTGCAAAGAGAACGACGCGAAAGGCGAATTACTCGAGGATTTCCTAATAAATAAAAATGTATACATTTTGAATCAGCCTGGAAACGAACCAACGTTCTCTACTATAATAGGAGAGGCCAATATAGACTTGACTGTGGTGAATAGTGGAGTCCTGAAGGATATTAATGATTGGAAGGTCTTCCCGAAAATGACTTCCTCAGACCATAATTGTATATACTTTGAACATAACAACAATAAAAATTCAGAAACAAATCAGGTAATCACAGGACAACTCTATAACTTAAAGAAGGTCAATTGGGATCAGTTTGGCGATGTTATTAAATCAGAACTCAATGGGACCTTTTGTAAAGAAATCACAAATACAAGTCCGGAGAACGCCGTTAATCTATTTAATAGAAAGATTGATCTTATATGCAGTAGCAATCTAAGTAGGAGAAGACCTCTGTCTAGGAAAACAGTACCGTGGTAGAGCGAACAACTGACCAACTTAAAGAAAAGATTGGCGGCATCTCGTAGAAGCTGTAAACGGTACAGGAAACTTAAATATGAAAAGGCGTATGAATACAGTTTTGATATATACTGCAGACTAAGAAGGGACTACAAGAGAGAGATTGGAAAGGCAAAAAAGGACTCGTGGAATGATTTCGTGAACCGGAACACTACGAAAAACCCTTGGGGACTGGCATACAAGCTAATGATGGGAAAGATTAAAAATAGTAATATCCTAAGTACGATTAAATTAGGTAGCGATTTTACAACTGATTGGACTTCATCGGCGAAGAGACTTTTGGAAACATTAATGCCGGATGGAGAGGAAAGTACAGAAGCAGAGGATTCACAAAACATAAAGAACAGATATAGCGAATACTTAAACTACAATATGGAACAGGAAATAAGAATGGACGAAATAGATGAAGCAATTAAAAGAACAAAGAAGAAAAAAGTTCCTGGTCCGGATAAAATAACAGCGGAAATATTAAAAATAGTTTGGAAGGCAGCACCAAACGCACTTTACTCACTCTTCAACACATGCTTTGATAAAAACAGCTTTCCAAAGCAATGGAAACAGGCGGATTTAAAACTGCTGCTCAAAAGCCCTGAAAAGGATCCGAGCGATCCTAAATCGTACAGGCCAATCTCACTGTTGTCAGTTGTTGGGAAAGTGTACGAAAGAATCATGGTACAACGTTTCAAGGTAATTTACGAAAGTCTAGAAATGTGCTCCGACAATCAATATGGCTTCATAAAGGGACGATCAACGGAGGACGCAATATGCAGAGCGGTCAGCAGCGTGAAATCGGCCGAATCAAAGTACGTAATGGGCATATTTGTCGATATAAGTAGAGCATTCGACAATCTTTCTTGGATTGGGATTTTGGACAGGATTAGGAGTGTGCATTGCACAAGGAAGTTGTTTGAGGTGTTCATGGATTACTTCTCGAATCGAGAGGTACAATTGGCAAGCCGGGAGAGTGAATTGGGGGTATCCAAGCTCCTGAGTAAGGGGTGTCCTCAGGGTTCCATTTTTGGGCCCACAGCATGGAACATAGTTATGGACCAATTATTAGTGGAACAAAAACTGAAGCTGAAACGAGATCTGAATACATAGCATATGCGGATGATATTCTAATCCTAGTGCCAGGAAAATCCA